TGAATAATCCCTTGAGTACGGAAGAAAGACGCTAAAGTATTATTCACATATTCACCTCCGTTGTCTGTCCGAAATACTTTGACCCGAGCATGAAACTGAGTAGACACCATAGTACAAAACTCTGGAAGGAAAAAAGCAACATCATGTTTATTTTTTAGCAAGAAAACCCAAGTGAGTCTGGTACAATCATCAATAAATGTGACGAACCAACTAAATCCGTTCGAAGTAACGAGAGCCGGACCCCACACATCAGAATGCACTAAATCAAAAGGCTTTGCAGCTTTACTGTCACTCAAAGGAAACACAGTGCGATGGCTCTCCAGAAGGCAAGGCAGCTTTATTATTACTTAAGGGAAAAATAGTACGGTGACTCTTGGCCATTACACAAGTCTCACATTTAAAGCTAGACTCATCACAGTAGCGGAATAAAGATGGAAACAGACGCTTAAGGTAGCCAAATGATGGGTGTCCCAAGCGACGATGCCATAACCAAATTTGCTGTTTGTCTTTGACACTGCAATTTTGAACAGTATAAACGACAAGATCACAAACTAGTGCAGAAGGCAATGTCAAATAATATAACCCCCCTATCCGTTTACCATGCCCAATCGTCTCGTGAGTTTTGAGATCCTGAAAAGAGCAACGCGTAGGATAGAAAGTAGCAAAAGCATTAAGTGTATCAAGTAATCGACCAACAGATAACAAGTTATAATGGATATTGGGAACTAGTAAAGCACGAGACAAGGACAGAGTAGGAGTGAGAGAGATTGTGCCCTCGCCAGTAATTAGATAGGGCAAGCCATTAGAACTAGTTATGTATGGGTCACGATTGTTACTAGACAACTCATCAAAAAATTTAGCATCAGAAGTCATATGATTAGAAGCACAAGTGTCAATTATCCAAGTATTGGAGCCAATACCTAAAATAGAGTCAGAAACACACAAATGTGTAGAGGCAGCAGCAACAACAGCAACAATGGAGTTATCACGCATGATTGCAATAAAAACTCAACAGATCACGGCAGAGTATACAACGGAACACAACAGAGGCACAAATACGGAGATGCACGAAGGTAGGCACGAACACAACAGAGTACACATCGGAACACAGCAAAGACACAAATACGATAGATGCACGAAAACAGGAATGACATGAACACAGTAGAGGCACGAACACTACAACACAACACACAAACCCAGGAGGGCACACACGGCACATGTAGAGAAAAAAATATGGGGCTAGAACACGGGTGGGCACAACACACATGTTACTAGAAAACCTGGCTCTAATGCCAAGTCGAACAATATGGGTAGAATATTTTTTAGGGTATATTTCATTCTCCAAAAGGAGATATTTATAGTACAAGGACGTAACCCTAGTAGGGTCAAACTAGGAAACAAGATAAAATCCTAATTACACAATATCTGTACAAAAGGAAAGAAATATAGTCCTAATAAACTAGGAAACAAATATCCTAATTAAGCTAGGATCTCGCTAACATGATGTTAGTTGTGGTGGGGGTGCTAAATTTTGGTTACTATTTAGTGTGTGTTAGCTTGCAGAGGCGGACCTATTAAGGCGCAAGGAGGTGCACCTCCCCTCGTTGGAAAAACTATTGTAGGTGCTTCAAATTGCCCATTTGCTCAACTGGTGTACAGATTACCTTATTTCCATTTTCAACATTTAGTCATTTTACTTTCATTTATTTTTATATTACTCCATTTACTTAAGTTTACAATGTAAATAAGGAAGTACCTCCCATTTGGATTCAAATAAAAATACTAGAAAATCAAATTCCCATCAAATCAAAATATGAAAAATCGGTTTTAGTGCAAAATACGATTTAGGCTAAAAATGATGGCTCATTAAGTCAATATATACTTCATACTAAAATCCCATAAAATCAAGTTTTCTTATTTGATGTGTAAGGAATAAAAGCCGCCAAAAATATCTTGAGAATATGATTATTCCGAAAAATCATTTTTCATACCTAATCAATATTGCACCTCAGCCAGAAAAATTCTAGGTCCGCTAGTGCTAGCTTGTACAAGTATTGTAATTCTGGCCCTGATAGTGTGAAGTGATGTGTTGTTAGTGGCTAATTGGAGTCATTATCTAAGTTATCAATTAACTACCATGACAAGTATGTGCCAAATGATAGAATATTACTATCAAGTTACATGTATTTCTCTTGTTTTGAGATAAAACCAACGTTACAAAGGAAAGTTTATTAATTTGAAACAAAATATGTTCTAAAAATAATATCCTCTAAAAATATGTTCTGAATAAAATAAGCAAGGAGCTCATACTAAACAAGAAAACACTCACAAGCCAAATCATACTTAGCTAGTTCGTGTATATCTCCTATTTATCTTTTGTACAGAAATGCATATTTGACATTCACAATACAAAGGAATGCTAAATATACATTTTTTTAAAAATAAAAAATTAATGTGTGGTAATAAAACTGCCACGTATATGTTTCTTAACTTTTTAACGTGGGACAATACTCTTAACAGTAACTAGCATGGTGCATGATCTCACTTAGAAAACACAAAAGCTCCTTTACCACATTAACCCTTAATACGTGAATGCAAAAGATGCAGTTGCCATACTCAATGATCCTAAGAAGGGCATGAAATTAAGAAGTACTGAAAGAAGTAAACTTTTTCTTGCCTTAGTTAAAACCTTGAAGTAAGAAAATATTTGGGCAAACCTTGACGTAAAGGTTGATAGTATTTTATAGTAATAATAAATAAATACTTTTTTTCTTTTTGTCAAAAAATAAAGAAATAATTAGAACCCTATTACACACACTCTCTCTCTCTCTCTCTCTCCTCCACATCATCGTCATCCCAAACCCCATTACACCGAAGACTGTTCTGTGCACACTCCAACAAGTAGAAGATGTCAAAAAGCGTGTTTGAATGAAGTTCGTTTAGAATTTTAGTGTGTTTAAAGAAAGGCTAGTTTTGCACATTTTCTTACTCAGTGTCAGTGCTATTATTCGAGAGATGCTGAAGATGATGATGCGGAATATAGCTGCTTCTTCTTCTTCTTATTGCACCAGCAGGAGATGGAGAGGTATGCCTTGTCTTCACTCTAACTCCACTGTTGTTGTTTTCGCCAACGGTTACTTTGCTTTCCTTCACTCTCAACCTTCTAAACCAATCAAATCTACAAGAACCCAACTAGAGCAGCCAGTGAGAAACTCACCCAAAATCACAACTGTTGAGGATGCTTTCAATGTGTTTGATAGAATGCTTCAAATGCGTCGTCCGCCTTCAGTTGTTTGTTTCAATCAAATATTGGGTCAAGTTGCGAAATTGAAACATTATTCGGCCGTCATCTCATTGTATAACCAAATGGATGTGTCGGGAATTGGACCTGATGTTTATACTCTAAACTTTCTCATTAATTGTTATTGTCATCTAAACCAAATGGGGTTTAGTTTATCTGTATTGGGAAAATTCTTCAAACTTGGTCTTGAACCAGATGTCTTTACCTTCACCACTCTAATCAACGGCTTTCTTCTCGAGAATAAAGTGGCGGAGGCGGCAGGAATTTTCAACAAAATGATTGCGGGAGGTAATTGTCAGCCTGATGTGGTTACTTTTGGCACAATAATAAGGGGCTTTTGCATGAAAGGTAACAATAGTGCTGCTATTCAGTTGCTTAGGAAGATGGAGGAAGGAGCTTGCAAGCCTAACCTAGTTGTCTATAGCACAATCATTGACAGTCTTTGTAAGGATACACTAGTTGATGATGCATTAAACCTCTTCTCAGAAATGATGTGCAAGGGTATTGCCCCAAATGTCATTACCTATACATCCTTGATTCATGGAGTTTGCAAATTAGGCGAGTGGAAAGAAGCTACAAGGTTGTTGAATGAAATGGTGAGTAAAAATATCTTTCCAAATGTGTTCACGTTCAACGTCTTGGTAGACACACTTTGTAAGGAGGGAATGGTCGTGGAGGCAGAAGGCGTGGTTGAGATGATGATTCAAAGAGATATTGAACCTAATACAGTTACGTACAGTTCACTCATGGATGGTTACTGTTTGCGAGGAGAAATAGGCAAGGCACAAAATGTTTTTGAACTAATGCTTAGCAAGGGCTCGATGGTTAATGTTGTTAGTTACAGCACATTGATAAATGGATATTGTAAGCATAAAAAGATGGATGAGGCCATGATGCTTTTTCTGGATATGTCTCATAAGGGACTAGCTGCAGATACCGTTGCTTATACCACTCTTATGGACGGTTTTTGCAAAGTGGGTAGAATAGATGATGCACAAAACTTGTTCTCTAAGATGCAAGCTTGTGGCCAGCTTCCAAATGTTCAAACTTATTCTATTTTACTGGACGGCCTGTGTAAAAACCGACAACTTTCTAGGGCAATGCAATTGTTTCGAGAGATGGAAGCGAAGAAGTTGGATATTAATGTTGTGATTTACAGTATTCTTATTGAGGGTTTGTGCATAGCTGGAAAAATTGAATCTGCAAGGGATCTCTTTTGTGGTTTGTCATCAAAAGGACTTGAACCTAATGTGAGGACATACACTATAATGATTAGTGGACTCTGTATCGCGGGACTAACAAGTGAAGCAGAAAAGTTTCTTATTGAAATGGAAGTGAAAGGCTGTTCTCCTAATGGTTGGACCTATAACACAATTATCCGAGGGTTCATCCTTAATAAACAGACATCAAGGGCGATGGTACTTATTCAAACAATGGTAGAGAAGGGTTTTTCTGCAGATGCATCAACAACGGAGTTGATAGTTAATTTACTGTCGAAAGATGAAGTGGATCCTGCTTTGTTGCCTTTGATAAAAAAATCACTGTAAAATTAATATGCATTTGTGGACAATGAAATTTGGAACTGCTGCACCTTGAACGACCATAAAGGTATTACAGTGGTTGTGCGTATGGCAGGAGGTGAAAATGCCTTCTCACTTGCATCCGTAATTTCTGGTATTAGTTCTCTTTAATGGGATATCTAGCACTCTTTTGAACTTTTCCCTTTATCTATGATGATTTAATTACTTTGTATTCCTATCACTTGGCATCTTGCAGTATACATAGAAGGCCAAATATATAAATTTAGGTGTGCCTTCTCACGACTCTCCTAGCTTGAAAATGTTTCTACAGATAATGTGTCTACTTAATCGGGTATCAGAAACTTTGACAAAACATAGACCATTATAGGTTAAGTCAACTGACATTGACTTCAAAATTAGTTAGCTACAGAGGATCTTTAAAATCAAAGGTTGGTTTGTCTCTCTTCCCACATAATGTATAATATATATGCTAATGGCTTCTAGTTTGAGGATGAAATAATGAGCCTAAACTTTGGCAATTCATTGATGTTCTGAAGAGGAGTGTGTTATATTGGGATAACGGTATATATACTGTTGTTCCTTGATTGAACTTGTGTTGCGTACCGATCTTTACGTTAGCTAAACTAATTTTCCAAGTTAAAACTCTTTTGTGTCTTTTCTGGTTCATATATACCAGTCAACAGTTTCGCTTGGAATTTGGGTATGATAAGGTAGTGGTGGAATCAGAGTCACTTAGTTTGACTAATATGTTAAATCAGGAAGCTAGCAAGGACGTAGAGATTTAAGGGATTCTTTTTTATGTTCTATGTCTGACTCAACAGTTTCACAAGGAGGAGTTTATGCATGCTCCGCGGAATTGTAATCAAGCTGCACATTCGCATTTAATAAATTTCTCTTTGACAAAAAAAAAAAAAAAACTATGAAGGTTCGGGTCTGAATTCATGTCAATTCTAATTTAGACATTAATTGATCCCAAATCCTTTTCTTTTTTCATCATGCTGGGATTGTATGAATATATAGTTAATGGCTTTAAATTCTTATTCAGATATGTATGCATTGCCCGGCCTATATTTTAGATTTGAATTTTTCCCTTTATCTATGATAATTTATTTACTTTGTATTCCCAGCTATCACTTTGGCAATTCATTGATGTTCTGGAGAGGAGTGTGTTATATTTGGGATATGGGCTGATAATGTTCTGGAGAGGATTGAACTAGTACTTGATTGGCTCATGCCAATTAGGTACCTAAAATAATTTATCTTCTACATAAGTATGTACAATTGTAAGAAAAACATAACTTAGGCTTATCCAACATTTTGGGCTTTTGCTTTTTTATTGTTTGGTGTAAAGTATTTTGCTTTCTTTTTCTGTTCTTAAAAGGCAATCAATATTATTTGGCAGTTGTGAGATGTTGAAATGAATATATTCTATTCGTAGTCAACACACAGAAGACAATCTTGCTTAATCATTTGCATAAATTAAGCACCCACAATTAAATTATCAAAAGTATTGATGAGGAAATATATAAAATAATCCTAGGTGTCGGTTGGTGGGTAGTTCTTGGACATATTACCACGATAATTTATTTGACATTAATAATACTACAACTTTTGACAATAGTTTTTCAGATTTTAGACACTATTGATGTAACGACATGAAAATAAATTTTCATAAAAATAGAAATCGTTCAAATAAACAAATAAATTTATTAAGTGGGTATACTTTTTCCAAAGGAAGAAAGTTGTACCAAGTGACAAAACGGTTTTAGTGAATTAAACATTGATAAAAGTAGAAGAGATCTTTTTTTTATTTTATTTTATTTATTAAAGGTGAAAGGCCAATGACTTTATTCCTCAATAGAATGTAGAGAACGCAAATCATTCTGAAGGTAAGAGTGAAGCCAGCTAGGCCCCTCTTTCATCCAGTAACATGTCTTATTACAAGATAAAGCAAATTTGGCTAATTGGTGAGCCACAAAATTACATGTACGAGGTTGGTGTTGCAAGGATACAAATACTAAACGACGAAGTAACTCTTTCAGTTCCTCTATCAACTCCCCTTCCATGCTCATGTCAAATTCAGATCGGTTTACGGCGTTAATAACCTCCAAGCAATCACTTTCAATAATTAACCTTGTGAATGCTGCATCTATTGCCATTCGACAACCTGCAATCATAGCCAAGGTTTCAAAAGCCTTAGGGGAAAGACAACCAATTACCGGTTTAGCCATTGCACCCATTAATTCCCCATTAGCATTTCGGACTACTGCTCCTAGCCCCATCTTTCTATCAGCCACACAACATGCGTCATCAACATTTAATTTCAGCAAGTACCCCTCAGGAGGATTTCAACAAGAAGTAGCAACATGGCGAGGTAACTTAGGCGATGGACATAGATCAACAAAATCCTTATAAAAGACTAGTGATGCTTCATAAACTGCAAAAGGGTTTCTTACTATGCCTCCATGGAAGCTCTTGTTTCTTTTAGCCCAAATCATCCAAACTATCACCGCGAATAAACATAAATCCTCCTCCTGAAAAGTATTACGAACATGGTAAAAAAGGTCCATGAAAGAACATACCCGTTGTGTTCCAACTAGTTGACAGAAAGGGGAGCACTTCCAAACTCGTCGTGCAAACTTACAATACCATAACGCATGCACTAAATCTTCATCTGCTCTCAAACAACGAGTACATACACCTGAGGATATCACATGTCGACGTGCAAGAGTAGCTCGACAAGGAATGACATTTTTTAGTGCACGCCAAAGGAAAAATTGTACCTTAGGCGGTAATTTCAACCTCCAAAGATGTTTCCACATGCCTTGTACAGTTGGGGAACTAGACTCCCCTTGCCTTAACCTCCCTTTCTGTCTTTGTATTTCGAAGAAAGCAACCCAATATTGTTCGGTTCATTTTTACACATGATTTATCATGTTATTCACCCACTATTTTGAGTTAGTTCTTGACATTTTATAACTTTTTACTTCCTTTTTGTGTTTTCATAGGTTTTACCTTGGTTAGAATGAAAATGAGCTAAAAGTGCATTATTGGTTATAAATTCTGATTTTTGTTCATTTTCGTAGGTCAACTTCTTGGTCTTGTATCAGCATGCTCTGGTGCTCGGATGAGGTGAAGATCTTCATGAAACTTGTTCCAATGGATGTTAACTACAACATATCCGAATTTGAGCTCCATTGGACAAGTGTAGCCTATCCAACTGATCTAACAATTGATGCTGGCTCTGGAAATCTGTTTTGGGCCAGTTTTACTTTCACTTGGTGTTACCTCATTTCTACTTGTTACCATGCCATTTGGTAACAAGAAATTACTTTGGTTAAGAGATTTTCTGAGAC